GGCCGGCCCCGTGGCTTTGCGGTTAAGTGCATGCACTCCGCTGCTGGCGGCCCTGGTTCGGATCCTGGGCGCACACCGACGCACCGCTTCTCTGGCCATGCTGAGGCCACGTCCCACATACAGCAACTAGAAGGATGTGCAACTATGACATACAACTATCTACTGGGGCTTTGGGGAAAAAAAGAGGAGGATTGGCCATAGATGTTAGCTCAGGGCCAGTCTTCCTCAGCAAAAAGAGGAGGATTAGCATCGATATTAGCTCAGGGCTGATCTTCCTCTCAAAAAAAAATATATATCAAGAAGTATGCCAAGAAATTTTATATATTACGGTATATGGGGAGGCCATTCTGGTTTATACTTGATTTGGCCTGAACTTTATGTGAACTAAAGAAGCCTGACTCATGGCCTGTCAATCATACATTGTACATTTACTTTAACCATTAGAGGAAAGGATGCATTCAATCACTACCCTACAGTAAAAGAATGTGCTCTTTGAAGATAAAAATTCATGCTTCCCTTCTTGTGACGCCAGATGAACCTCCCTTCCCAGGGCACCAGGCTCATGTTGACCCACTGTGTATGCTAATCTGTAAACAAAATACCTCCTTGAAACCTTGAGAAAAAGAAAATGCATCCCTGTCATGTTTGATGTATGTTCTTTGTTCTGAAATAGTATAAACTGTGCTGAAAACCATGCTTCTCTGACTGCTTTCCTCCATGGTGAAGACTGCACTTCCAGGCTAGTCCTCAGCTTGCCTCGAGTAAAATCTCTCTCATTATAGGTTGATTATTGATTATTTGTGTCAACAAGTATTAAAAATTACATTTTAAAACTGCATTGGTATAAAGACGAATATAATCCAGGCTGGATTTAATATTATGTATTTGTTGTTATTATAGTCATTTTTATCTTCTGATTTTAAAAGAAATTAAAACACTTTTGTGGATCCCTAGAAGCATCATGGTCCCTAGGCTCTGTATCTACAGTGCCTAATGGATATGTCAGCCCTGGGGTGATGGTGTTCCTGGTAGTACCACAGGCACTCTGGCAGGCAAATGCCTGGTGCTGTCTGTGGATGCTGGCCACTTGCTGGTACTGCTTGAGATTGCTGCCACTGGCCATCTGTGGGTACTGCAGGGCACACAGGAGGGCTAATGGGGACCAGGGTGGCACCGCCCTGGGTGCTTCTCTGTCTTGGTGTCTTGGCAGGCAGCAGGCTTGGAGCTGGGGTTCCCCTGGGCTGCTCGATCCTCTCATCACCATTTCTGTTGACGCTCATCTCTATTGAATAGAGTTTTGTTAAAACCAGAATCTCATGTCTTGTGATCATTGGTAACATCAATTTTTATCGGTAAAACAGAGCTAGCTATTATACAGCACTTGTTCTGTCCTATCATTGGCAAGGAAACCAAGACACAGGGAGATTATTTAAAGCTGAGGTGGAGGGGCCGGCCCCGTGGCATAGTGGTTAAGTGCGCGTGCTCTGCTGCTGGCAGCCCAGGTTCGGATCCCGGGCGCACACTGATGCACCGCTTGTCAAGGCATGCTGTGGCGGAGTCCCATATAAAGTGGAGGAAGAGGCTGGCCCTGTGGCTTAGCGGTTAAGTGCGTGTGCTCCGCTGCTGGCGGCCCGGGTTCGGATCCTGGGCGCGCACTGACGCACTGCTTCTCCAGCCATGCTGAGGCCGCGTCCCACATACAGCAACTAGAAGGATGTGCAGCTATGACATACAACTATCCACTGGGGCTTTGGGGGAAAAAATAAATAAATAAATAAAATTATAAAAAAAAAAATAAAGTGGAGCAAGATGGGCATGGATGTTAGCCCAGGGCCAGTCTTCCTCAGCAAAAAAAGAAGAGGATTGGCATGGATGTTAGCTCAGGGCTGATCTTCCTCACATGTACACAAAAAGCTGAGGTGGCAGAGCTGGAATGGGAGGCCAGGCAGCCTCAACTATCACCCTGGGCCTCCTCCTGTCCTGCCAGAAGATCCAGGTGTGACCTCACATAGGGGTACTAGCCTGTTGCCCTTTAACAGCCATGTATCCTTCTGGCCCCCTTCTGGGCAGGATGCCAACCTTCTGGGCTGGATGCCCAGCTGCTGTGATTGGTAATGATCCAGGGCCTGGCCAGCCCGGATCTTACCTTATCTCACTCAAAGAACATCACGTCTTAAAGGAACACAGACACCTCCACGTGAACTATTGTTGCTGGGAATGCTGGCCGTACCAGGGATGGCCTTTCTTGTCAAGCATATAGCCTTTGTGCCCTCTGCCTATATAAGCAACCCCCTCCCCACCTGCAATCGCGGGTGCACACTTCTGTCCAGTCAGCTGCCACTGGACATTCCCTGTAAGTAGCTCCCAATAAACCTATATGTCTCGTTTGCCTTCTCCAGGTCTTTTTTTCGGTCTCTCCACAACCTATCCCTCACTGCTCACCTAACTGGGTGTGTGGCCAGACATTTGGCAAGCCAGCTGGGAGACCGGGGAAACCTTTGTGAGCACGGAGACTATGGGGGACGGGAAGGGGAAATTTGTGGGGGAAATCCTGGGTTGGCTAAGGTCCTCCCTGTGGGGGCCAGTCACCATTATCTTTGATGTATGGGGCCCACTGTGTGAGTATGCGGATGCCCCCAAAATGCCAAAGGGCCTAGGGAAAGTCCTGGGCATGAGAAATGTAGAAAAGAAAAACTCAGATGCCCAGGCCATTGTTACAGCCACGAGGTGGCCCCTCCTCACTGTGCGATGGCTTGCAACGAAGGCAGGGGAAGTCCTGGGCGTGATAAATGATGAGGAAAAGAAGTCAGACGCTTGGGTGGTAGCTGCGGCAGTGGGGTGGCCCCTCCTCACTACGGGAAGGGGGAGTAATTTCTCACTACAGAGACTGAAATGGAAGCAAGAGCCAAGGTGAGGCAGCTACAGGAGAAACTGAAGTTAGAAAGAGAGGCTCAACTGGTTCAAGCTGAGACAACCGAGGCACTGTTGACACGCCTATGGGAATCTGACGAGAAAATAGAGACTCTAGCCTGTCGTTTTACTAAGATCAAGGGACGATAGCTACCATGGGCAAAGCTGCAGGCCCTTGTGACCTGACAAGAACGGAACCCAAAGCAATGGGACCCGTGTGACTCTAATAGTGAGGAAAGTGAGGATGTTACAGGATGGGATGACACAATAGAAGTACCTGTCCTGGTGGCACATTTGGTCATGATGCAGAAAATAAAATCTGAATAACCCCAGCTTCCAGGGGTTGCTCCAACAGACTTGCCCCCACCGGTTTGGCACATGCACTCTACTATGCAGGACTACACCGCTGCCGAGCTGATAGAACTGGGAAACAAATTCAGGCAGAAGGGGAGGGAAAGCACCCTGGGGTGGCTTTTGTGTCTCTGGGATGGGGGGAAGAGGACATTTTGCTGTTGGAGGTGGAGATGAGCAAATTGGCTTCTGTCACTTCTCACCTCACCCTACGGCCACACCTCTATAGCACCACCTGGTGGACAAAACCCCCTGGTGTTGCCTTGTTTCGTTATATTGATGATGTCATGTTAACCTCTGAGTCTTTTTCAGACCTCCAGGAAGCCTCCCGCTCCTTGTCACAGTGAACGACAACAAATTACAAGGGTCTGGGTTATCTGTCAAATACTTGGGTGTTGTCTGGTTGAGTAAGACAAAGGTGGTCCCTGCTGCTGTTATAGATAAGATACAGGCTTTCCCAACACCCAACACCCCAACACAACTATAGACCTGACTGGGCTTATTAGGTTACTGGTGCCCTTTCATTCTTCATTTAGCCCAACTACTTCTGTCCTCTTTATAAGTTAGCGCGAAAGGGTGCTATCTGAGACAAGAGGACCACCAAGCAGGAGGCCCTCACCCAAGCCAAAGCAGCAGTGAAACAAATCCAGTCCTTGGGTATTTTAACACAAGGTCAACCACAGGCACTGGATGTTTCCAGTTACCCAGAGGGGTTCGGATGAGGTCTCTGGCAGAAGCAAGGCAATAAATGAGTGCCCCTTGGCTTCTGGTCCCAATTGTGGAAAGGGGCTGATAATCAGCGCAGCACCCTAGAACAATTGTGTGCTGCTTACTTGGCCCTCCAGCAGGTGGCGCCCATAACCCATTCCCTGCCGGTCACAGTCTGTACTCACCTGCCCATTGTGGAGTGGTTGCGGGATACTTTCCAGAAGCCCCACTTGGGAACAGCCCAGTCACAGACATTGGCAAAATGGCATGTATACTTACAACAGTGAGGGACCCTGACCAATAGTCCCCTCAGTGCAGAATTGCATGCCGTCCTGGGACCATTAACATATACTACAGAAGACACAACCCGGTTAGATGAGGTGTCCATGCCTGAAACCCTGCCAAATGTATGAAAGGAGAAGGACCAGTCCTCGCGGAGACCTGGTATAGGGATGGCTCTGCAAGAGACAACCTCCACCCAGTGGATGGCAGTGGCGATCCAGTGTTCGTCTGACAGCACATAGTTGGACTCTGGCTCTGGGTACAGTAGTCAATGGGCCAAACTGTGGGCTGCGTGGATGGTGTTGACTTGTGAGCCCAATCCAATATGTCTGTGCATGGACAGTTAGGCAGTCTATGAAGGACTCACCCTGTGGGTGGCACAATAGGCATGACAAAAGTGGACTGTTAATGGTCGCCGGTTGTCGGGGGCAGAGCTTTGGGATGACATCTGCCAGCGGATCCAGGGAATGACGATAACAATATACCATGTGTCTGCACATCAGGTGACAGTGCTGCCAAGAAACCAAAAAGCAGACAAGTTAGCTGGGGTCTGCCTCCTAGAAGAAGTACCAGCTGAAAGAGTGGCAGAATGGCTACACAAAAAGACTGGACATAAAGGACAAAGGACTCTATGGGCTATTGCCAAGGCCTGGGGCCTCCTCCTACACTATGCTGACGTGGAACAGGTCTGCCAGGCATGCCCTTCTTGTTCCTTGCAGAGACTCCAGGCCATTCGCTGGGACACAGGCCAAATATCCGGAGACAACCAGCCCACTCAGTGCTGGCAGGTGGACTACATTGGGCCCTTGCATCTTTCTTTTATTTTATTTTATTTTTATTTAATTTTATTTATTTATTTTTCCCCCAAAGCCCCAGTAGATAGTTGTATGTTATAGCTGCACATCCTTCTAGTTGCTGTATATGGGACATGGCCTCAGCATGGCTGGAGAAGCGGTGCGTTGGTGCACACCCAGGATCCGAACCCGGGCCGCCAGCAGCAGAGCGTGCGCACCCAACCGCTAAGCCATGGGTCCAGCCCCCTTGCATCTTTCTGATGACTGCTGGTATGCCCTTACTTGTGTGGACACGCATATAGGACTGCTGCAGGCATACCCCAGCAAAAGGGCCACACAAAAGAGCACTGTAAGAGGCCTAGAACACCTTTGTGCCGTGTACAGTGTTCCCACGGACATTGACAGTGACCTAGGTACACATTTTACTGGCCACCAGGTACGGACATGGGCTGACCAAATGGACATACACTGGCATTTTCACCTGCCATACAACCCCACGGCCATGGGGCTGGTGGAACGAATGAATGGCTTGCTGAAACAACAATTGAGGAGAGAAGACAGGACCCTAGCCCACTGGATGAGACACCTGACAACTGCAATACATCAAGTGAATGAACATGAAAGGTGCACCTGACCCAGTGCATATCAGATGTTGACATAAGGACCCGATATGACAGTACGTCTACAAGAGCTAATCAAGGAGAGAAACTACTACAACCACAGATAGGCACTCAGAACAACTTGCTTTTGCCTCTGCCACAGGAACTCCATACCAGGACCCACGTGGTCACTTGGCCCTGGGAATGGCAGGTGGGGCCCCGCTGGTGTGGTCTCTTAGCCCCTTGGGAAACAGGCTTAGAACAGGATATATGGTAAAACCTCCAAATTTACTAATCCAAGGTACATTCATCCTTTCCCTCTGGTGTGTCTTGTTGGACGGTCATGACATCCCTGTTTTAGTTTCCTCTCAACATCTGACTTTCGTCCTCAGGACAACATCTGCCAACCTCTTCCCTGATTGGGCACACACTGTTGCTGACATACAAAATCTCCCCAACTGCTGGATAAGCAGCAAGCTGCCTTTCTTTTTGACCACAGGTCTTGGATTCAATTCCCCACCTCAACCTGGTGAAAAGTATTCTTTGGCATTCTTGACTTTTTATTATTGATGTTGTTCTCTTGCTGTGCTCTCTACTGCTGTTGTGATATCTGGCTACAATGCTCCTCTTTGTGTCTGGCTTAAGAGACTCTGCTGAAGAATGGCACGTTAAGGTTGTAAGGGCCATTCAGACACATGGTGGGTGGAGTGTGGGGGCACTAGCCTGCGTGCCCTTTAATAGACATGTGTCCTTCTGGCCCCCTTCTGTGCAGGAAGCCCAGCTGCTGGGATTTGTAACGATCCAGGGTCTGGCTAGCCTGGATCTTACCTTATCTCACTCAAAGAACATCACATCTTAAAGGAACATAGAGCCCCTCCACATGAACTACTGTTCCTGGGAAAGCTGGTCTTATGAGAGACAGCCCCTCTTGGCAAGCATATAGCCTTTGTGCCCTCTGCCTATATAAGCAACCCCTGCCCCACCAGAAGTCTCGGCTGTACACTTCTGTCTAGCCAGCCAATAGGGGACTTTCCCTGTAGGTAACTCCCAATAAACCTATATGTCTCATTTGCCTACTCTGGGTCTTTTCTTCAGTCTCTCCATGATCCATCCCACACTGCTCACCCAATGGGGCGTGTGGCCAGACACCTCATTAAATATGACAGCCCAATAACAGATTTTCCAGACTACATAGATAACAGAGATATAGAACATACAACAATCTCAAGCAGCATTATAAACTCTGGATGGTTTAAAAAACCTTTTTATTTGGAAGTCACTTCAAATTTTTAAAAAATTGTTCAAAGAACATCTGTATTGCTTTAACCAGATTCAACTAATATCAACATTTTATGTCATTTGCCTTATCATTTGCTCTTTCTAAACACACACAAACACACACACACTGTTTTTTCAGAACAATTTGAGGGAAAGTCATATACATCATGGCTCTTTACCCTTAAATAATTCCATGTGATTTCTTAAGAATAGGGATAGCCTCTTATATAACTACAGAGCAGTTACCCACTTCATAAATTTATGTAGATACAGCACTTTTTCCTATATGCTGGCCCTATTCCAATGGTGTCAGTTGATAAAATAAAGTGCTTTACAATGTTTTTTCACTTCTAGTGCTGGATCCATCCTAGGGTCAGGCATTTCAGGGACTTGTCAGTTCTCATTAGCCTCCTTCAGTCTGGAACATTTCCACAACCTTTCATATCCTTTTATTCTCTAACAAATGTGTATGTGTGTGGATGTGTTGGTGGGATTGTGTGGGTGTTAAAGTGTGTCGGGATGTGTGTGTATGGGAGGTGATTGTGCAGTGTGTTTGTGAGGGTATGATTGTGGACAGGAGTGTGGGGTGCATGTGTGTGTGTGATGTATTTGGTTGTGTTGCAGTGTCTGTGGCTGGGTATGTGTGTGAGTATGGGTTGTGTGTGTATGTGAGGTTGTATATGTGGAGTGTGAGTGTAGGTTTGTGACTATGATGTGTATATGTCAGGGTGTGTCTCTGATGTGTATGTGGGTGTATGTCTGGGTGTGTGTGGGTTTGTGGGGAGTTTATGAGTGTGGGTGTATCTGGACGTGTGGGGATACGTGAGTGGAGTGTGTGTGTGTGGATTTCTAAAGCGTGTGTATGGATGTGTAAGTGGGATGTGTGTGTATGAGGAGTGTATAAAATGTGTGTATAAGTTAGTGTGTGTGACAGTGTGTGTATAAAATGTATAAAGTGTGTGTGCATGGGTGTGTAAGTCGGGTGTGTATGTGGGATGTATGGCTGGGTGTGCATGTGTGTAGGGGGTTTTGTGAGTGTGGGAAAGCTGGCTTATATGTGAGTGTGAGGGTGTATGTGTCAGTGTGGGTGCGTGTTTGTCAGTGTGGTTGTGTGGAAGTTTGTGGCAGTGTGTTTGTGTGTAATTTACATAAATAATTTTTATATATTCCCTTTAATCTCCAAAAATTATATGTATACTCATTGAAAATGTATGTTAACCAGCAGAAACAGAAATAGTATTTTATTGACTCATTATTCCCAAGGGGAGGGTACAGCTGTAACAAGGTCTTAGGAGCAAGAATTTGATTGAAGAAAAGACTAGAAGCAAGTTACAAGTAACAGGCAGGTAATGCTTATTCAATTACTGAATATTGTATCATTAAAAATTTTTTAAAATATTTATTTGGGGCCGGCCCCGTGGGTTAGCGGTTAAGTGCTTGCGCTCCGCTGCTGGCGGCCCGGGTTCGGATCCCGGGCGTGCACCGACGCACCACTTCTCCGGCCATGCTGAGGCTGCGTCCCACATACAGCAACTAGAAGGATGTGCAGCTATGACATACAACTATCTACTGGGGCTTTGGGGGGGGAAAACATAAATAAATAAAATCTTTAAAAAAAAAAAATTTTATTTGGCAGGCGCCAGCCAGGTTGCGCAGTGGTTAAGTTTGCGCACTCCGCTACTGCGGCCCAGAGTTCGCAGATTCAGATCCAGGGTGAGGACGTACACTACTCATCAAGCCATGCTGTGGCGATGTCCCACATAGAATATAGAGGGAGATGGGGATAGATGTTAGCTCAGGTCCACTCTTCCTCAAGCAAAAAGAGGAAGATTGGCAACAAGTGTTAGCTCAGGGCCAATCTTCCTCACCAAAAGAACAACAAAAACAAAAACATTTATTTACCCATAATTTCAAATTTACAGAAAAGTAGCAAGAAAAGTACACAAAAGAGTTCATATTCTCCTTACCCAGAGTTACCTTGCTAATGTTGTGCCCATTTGCTTTATCCTTTCTCTCTCTCTCTTTCTCTCATTGTTCCCAGGATTTTGGGTTACTCAGGTACGGTGAGGCCAACAGATCAGCAGACCAGTGAAAAGAGAGCTCATTACTCCCAGTTCCCCAGAGGAGGGGGCCTGTCCCACCATGCTGGGCCACAGGAGGGTCGGTCAGAGGCAGGGAGAGTGAGGGGAACTGTGGGAACTCGTGTATGATGGTTTTCCAGGGAAGGAATGGGCAAGACAGGGCAAGGGGGTGACCGGGTTTAGGATTGGTGAGTTAGAATAATTTCCGTGGGCTCAGAGTGTAGGGGCTGCCCCAGGTTGTCTGATGCCTGGCCCCAGGTGGTGAGGACAGGAGGTTAAAGTCTCACCAGCAGAAGAGGTGGGGGTGGGGATGGCTAGTTCCCCTATGAAAGGCCTACTTGAGGGAGAGTGCTTGCTGGCTCTGGGAATCCACTCCTCCTGGGAGGGGCAGTCCCTCCCTAGTCAGCAAGGCCCCAGGTGGGAAAACAGCACTCACAGAGAGCAGAAAACTCGGTTAACGCAGGACCACTTACCTTTAGTAAGTGGTGTAAGCCGTGACATATCTGGGTTATAACCTAACATCTTGTAGCTATTTCTTATTCATGAATTTCTACTTTGTTTATTTTCCCTCCCTGTTTTTCTGTCCCCTTCTGGATTGTTATATGATTATGTAGGATCAAATAAGGCCCTGTCTAAACGGGTTTAAGTTGGTCACGCGGGGACCAAGCCTTC